TGCAGCTTTGGCTCCCTGCATCCTGTTCAGTGTGCCTTCCTGTGGGGGTGGGGGTGCCAGAAGACTGTTTTTTCCATATGAATGCGAAGTCCCTATGTAGGTTGCATAGATCCACATGCTTCAAAAATGTTGCAAAAGAAGCCTTACTTGAGGCATGTGTGTACTTCCTTTTTTATAACATTGCTTCTGAGCAGATGTGGAGACAGTTGGGGGGAGGGAGGGAGAGACAGAGACAGAGACAGAGACAGAGAGAGACAGAGAGACAGAGAGAGGCAGAGAGACAGAGAGAGACAGAGAGATAGAGAGACAAAAGAGTTTAACATGACCTATCTACTCCTTGCAAGCAAAAAAGAATACATTTTTTACCCAAACCATGAAAGATAATCCTGAACACTTTTTTGCCCCATGTTGGACCCACAGTGTTATGAAGACCAGCCTTAAGGAGAATTAGCTTTCTTTTCAGTGCTATGCTAACACAATCACCCTTTCAAAGAGAAAATGTGAAGGATCTGTTTGGAGCAGAATAAATGTTATGACAAGAATTTGTTTCCCTTTGCCACATAATCTTTGGCCAAACTTTAGAGGCTTCCCCGGGTAACTAATTCCTGGCTCGCTTCAGGAGCGCGGGGGTACAGGGAAGGAAGTGAAACACGGCACTTGTCCTTTCAGTCTCGTGAAGCCAGGAGACCCTAGTGCACAACTGGCTGTGGTGAGAAGGAAATGACTGGAGGCTAGCTTACTTCCTGCTTCCTGCTGGCAAGTAATTTTGTGACAAAAGAGAAAAACCTTTTAGTAATCTTGCTCAGGTGAAGACATTATTTTCAAATGGTCAAATTAACCTGCTTAGAGAAACTCTGGAAGAAAATTTTAATAGAGACAATAATTAATGTAAAACAGATAATTCAGAGGTAAGCTCATAGCTCACCAACTACATTTGTGACAATAAACTTCTTCAAGGGATGTTTGGGAAACAGACTTGTAGTGGCTCAGATATTCTGAGGAAATTTAACCTAAACTGAGTGAAAGCTAAGCTCTTCTAGCAGTGTGAGCAGAAAATAACTAAAAATCATGTAAGAATTTTTTAATCAAGAGTAGGGGCAGTGGTGGGGCTGGTGAAATGGCTCAGTAGTCTAAAGCACCTACTTAGAACAAGCTTAGCAAAGCACAGGGACCGTGGTTCAATCCCCCAGCACCACATGCCAGCCAGCCCCGCCCCCTGGTGGGCTGAGCTGGCCACACACACACACACACAATAAATAAACTTAAAAAAAAAAAGATTCCAAAAAAAGAGTAGGGGCAGTGGAAATAAGTATGATTTATACAAACTGAGGAAATGGAAAGCTAAAAAAGTTACATGGATTTGGAAACTTTTTAATTCGCTTGATCAGAGTTTATTTAAAAAGGTAACACTTGGTCTAGCGAGATAGCTCAGCAGGCTAAGTGCCTGCTTAGGCAAGCACAAGGACCAAGGTTCAGTCCCCCACACCACATGCCATGCTGGCCCCACCCCTGGGGTGCGCTGAGCCAGTGACCGAGACCAGGCATAGTGGTGCACACCTGTGATCCCAGCGCTAGGGAGGCTGAAAACAGGAGAGTCATTATAAGTCCAAGCTATATAGTGAGACCCTGTACCAAATACAGCAGAAAAAAAAAAAGGTAGCATTTGTAAAGTACTTATATTAAAATTAAATTATAACCAAAATCTGTGCACTACAAAAACTTTCTCAATAATAAATTAGACCTGGAATTTATTAAATGTTACTTACAGAGTTAAGCTGAATACTGTGTCTAAGTGCCATATACGAAGACCTGAAATAGTTCTTCCCATCCTCCAGTGGGTTAGAATTTCTTAAAACAGAATATTCCTTTTTCTAGTCATTCGTGTTCTTTCTCACTAGACCATTGACACAGTTATTTCATAACAATTCTCCCTTTGTTGTACCTTACCACATTTCTTAAGGTATAAAATTGATTTTATTCTTTTTACTGGTACTTATTGTGTAAATGAAGAACAAATGAATACAAGTCACTTAGAACCCTCATAATTTTGTGTTTTAAAGGCTAAATTTCGGCAATTTGGCCACCATTCTATTATCTCTCCTGAGTGGTCTTGTTATGAATTGTAGAAATAAGATTTTATTGCTGATATGCACACTTTGTTAGTGTCAAAAATAACTATACAGAAACTACATTATTGATTATACAGTATTATAATAATTATGCCACAGAGGAAGACCTTTGTAAATAAAATTTAAATTTCACCTTGACCTAGGCTTTCAAAATATCTTACCTGCTCTTTCAATTTCTTCATTATCTAAGGCATTATTTTATTCCATGAAGATAACACAAATTGAGTTAGGTACTCATTTTCCTAGACTAGTTAGGTAGCCTGCTACCTTGGGAACATTGAATAGATTATATTTTACAGTTTCAATGGATTTTCTGATAAAGCTGTTACAGTAATTGGCTGGCTATTACTTGGAAGGAAGGACTTTTTAATTATTATTTCCATGACTCCTCTGTGAGGTTTACTCATTTTAAATAAAGCAAGCAGGAATTCTTATGTAGGGGCTTCCTGCATTGGAGAAAACAGCACATGTCTAACAAGTGTAAGGGTTTTTCTCAGTGCTTCAGTACATCTCTCCTTTCACAACCATCTGTTACCTGGCAGCACCCATCTCTTATTCCCAGCAAGCTTTCCACATGTGTGTAACTTGCTACCATTTCCACTAAGGGTAATCGATCAATAAAACCCTTTCAGCTCTCAAGTTTAAATTAAAAATAGCCTTTTAATGCCACCTTAAAGGGCATCACTATTAGCAGACTCTACATTGTAATTTTCCAACCAGTATATCATGTATGTTGCATGAGACTATTGATTTGCTGATTCAAATGGTAAAACACACCTAAGATCCTGGTGAACCTTTCCAATGGAGCTGAAAGTGTTCCTTGAATGATATTTCTGTCCTTCTGCATATTGTTATGTGGTCATGATGTCAACATCTTTTTCATCCCTAAGAAGAAGAAACTCTAGAGGGTCCGATGGCTGAGGAAGAGAAACCTGCTGCTCTTCCTGGGAAAGAGTGTGGGGCTGCTAAATCCTCAGACCAAGCCCAGGGCCCCAGTGGGGTTCAAGTGGAGTCTAGTTCGGAGGCACAATTAGTTCCAGAAGAGAGTGCGCTCCCTGGGGCTCTGCCTGAGAAAAGTGTAAAAGAGGTCGCAGAGTTGTCTCCGGAAGTAAAAACCCCTTCCTCTGCCAAGGAAGGTGTGTTTCTCTCAGGATTTGCATGTGTGTTGTTGCAAATGTTCTCTCCAGCAGCTTACGAACCTGGCGCCTTTCTAAAGCTGTTTCATCCCTGGGTCTTCTCATAATCATGAGACCACCGTTTCAGCCTTCATGAGCAGAAAGTGTGGCTTGCGCAGATGCTGTGTGGCAGCTTGATTGTCCCCTGCTGCAGCTGATTCTTGGTTGTCCTTTGCCATGATACAAGATGCTTTGCAGCAGGCTGATGATGCTGTATGAGCTTTTGAGTTCCCCTCCCTCCTCATTTCGAATGTTTGCCAGTCACATTGCTAATACATGTATATTTTTGTTTTGATTTTTTTTTGGTGGAACAGCAACTCATATGCTTTATCTTCCAATTGGACTTTGGCATATAGAGGCTTAAATAGTAGAGTCGCTTTTATTTGCAATTGCAACCTGCTATATTTTTGTGCTTCAACAAATACTGGCTTGATTCCTTTAAAGCTCCTTTTGATGCTTCTCATGTCATTTTCTCTCCATGACAGCCAACCCCTTCAGTCACCCCCATGTCTGTTGAGTTTTCATCCATCTAACCTTTGTTACAAGTTCATGAAATATCTTTTTTCTATTATTACAACAGGACACACAAGCATATAAGGTAATGATGATCCATACACTTGCTCTTCCAGAGATGGTTAAAATTTGTGATTTTTTTCCTCAAATCTTCTCTGCATTAACTACACTTAGCTCTAATGACTACTGTGAAATATTTTGATCTTAAAACACAAATGTGTCTTTAAAACCTTTTAAATTGGTAAATAAATGGAAATAAGAAGGTGTCACTTATTTTCTGTGAAGCCTCTCTAGAGCTAGTACTGGTCAGTGCCTCTCCAGTTGGTCCTGTTCACAGGGAATGAGGTCTTGACCATAAAGAGAAAGTATTTGAAAAAAATTGGCTCTTTTGAAAAGTTTATTACTCTTGTGATTTCTCAATATCAATAATATAATTGATATATCTATGAGACAAATTAAGCACTGATTAGGTAATACAAATATTGGATGTGGTACAAATTTCTTAGTGGATTCTTCAATTATATCATATAAAACTGAGAACAAACATTTACTTATAGTCCCAAAACTTAATCTCAGATGACTTCTAAAAATTGATGCCAGTAACTTTTGAGTGCCCTTCAATTGGTCCAGGCCTCTGTTGATCAGTTTATCTGAAACTATGATTTCCTATGTCATTATTAATTACTTGGCATTTTCCCCTGGCCTACCAAATCATTTCCCAAGGTGAAAACTTGTGAGTAAAACTCAGTAGAAACTGATCTTTAGCCGAATATAGCCCTTAATGCAAATTTTAGATCTTAACATTAACCACTTACTCAATATGCATTGATACAATATGCATTCATACATTAATGTGAAGACACATTAATTTCTTTTCTACTTTAATACACACAATGTTTAGGACATGCCAGACAAACAAACAAAATGAAAAAATGAGTAGTAGTGTGAACTACTTCTTACACTTCCTGTACACATTAATTTACAACAGTTCGTTTTAGTAACAGTGTGCATGCGTCTCAGCCCTGACGCTTTTCACATTGATTTTTCTATGAGTAGCATGCCTGCATGTTCCATTTTTTTCCATTTCTCTACCATTCATTTTTCATTTCAGAATATATTTTTAAGCTTACTGCCTGAAAGCACTTACCTATGATTTGTTTAAAAATCAACCCGATTACTTCAGATTTACTTACAGCCTCGAAGATGGAGTTCCCTGATCAGCAAGAATTGACTTCCTCAGCAGCTGAGCCTTTAGACAAGAAAGAAAAAGAGTCAAAGATGGAAAGTAAGCCTGGTGAAGACCTTAAACATGCTGCCTTAGTTCCCCAGCCGGACACAACTCAAACTCCCCCTGAAAGAAAGGACACCCAAGGTGCAGAAGGAGAAAAGGCACCTCCTGCTCTGTTTGGGCATCCTGTTGGTGCAACCTTTGAGGACATGAAGCAGAAGGCAGAACCAAGCTTTGTAGTACCTGGTATTGGCCTCCCTGCACAGCCTCCAGTGCCCAAAGAGCAGAAAGACTGGTTCATTGAAATGCCAGTGGAAACAAAGAAAGATGAGTGGGGTTTAGCTGCCCCAGTATCTCCTGGCCCCTTGACACCCATGAGGGAAAAAGACGTCCTGGAAGATGTCCCCAGGTGGGAAGGAAGGCAGTTTGATTCTCCCATGCCAAGTCCCTTTCAAGTGGGAAGCTTTACTCTTCCTGTAGATATTATGAAGAATGAAGTTGTAACAGAAGCATCCCCTTTTGACCCTGGCTTCTTCCCACCAGATAACAAAAATTCCCTGCAAGAAGTCAGTGGCCCGGTGGCTGCCAAAGACAGCTCCAAAGTTGAAGACTCACAAAAAGATAAACCTGATAAAGTGGCAGAAACAGCAGTCTCAGAGGCAATTACCTTACCCAAAGATGCCCAGGTTCCAGTTATAGAAGGATATACCATTGAGAAAGATTTAGGGGAAGATACAAGGGTCATACATCAAGAGAGAAAAGAAATTTCCACCCCCAGTGGACAGGAACCTACACTTACTGAAAAGGAATTCGAGCCAAAGCTTGAAGAGAAAACATCTATCTCTGACAAAGTAGCTATACCAAAAGAGCATGAACCCTCAAAATTGAGAGATGAAGAAACAGGCATAATTCAGACTGCCACTGAGCACTCTTTCTTGAAAGAAGAACCTGAAGGCCAAGAGCCTACTGCAGATCTATTAAAGCAGGGTTCTTTTCCTTCAAGCTTGGGGCAATCGATGACAGATTCAACCATGACCTTGAACACCCTAGAAAAAGTCTCAGTTGAACCAGCTGCACTCTATGAAAAAAGTACCTTACAGGAACTTTTTCAGGAGAAAGTTACTGACAAAGACAGTAAGGTGGAAGAAGTTGGGGCCACATCAGCAGCAGAAGTTGGCATGCCATTTTATGAAGATAAGTCAGGAATGTCCAAGTACTTTGAAACATCTGCCTTGAAAGAAGAAGTGACTAAAAGCATTCAGCTGGCCAGCGACTACTATGAACTAAGTGACACAAGAGAAAGTGCCCGTGAGTCTGTTGATACCATATCTGCCATGCATGAGGATGATGACAAGAGATCCCAAGCAGAAAAAGAATCCCAGCCCTGTGCACCAGCACAGGAGGCAGGGTACAGTACACTTGCACAGAGTTACCCACCTGACTTACCTGAAGAACCCAGTTCTCCTCAAGAAAGAATGTTCACCATTGATCCAAAAGTATATGGGGAGAAAAGAGACCTCCACAGTAAGAATAAGGATGATCTGACACTCAGCAGAAGTTTAGGACTTGGTGGGAGGTCTGCGATAGAACAAAGAAGCATGTCCATCAACTTGCCCATGTCGTGCCTGGATTCCATAGCACTTGGATTTAACTTTGGGCGCGGCCATGATCTCTCTCCTCTGGCTTCTGATATTCTCACTAACACGAGTGGAAGCATGGATGAAGGTGACGATTATCTTCCAGCCACCACACCTGCGGTGGAGAAAGCCCCTTGCTTCCCAGTAGAAAGCAAAGAGGAAGAAGAAAAAGCAGAGGAAGAAAAAGCTACTGGAGGGGAAATGGCACAAGTTGAAACATCCAGCGAGCCACCTTTTGTGGCCAAAGATTATTACAAAAATGGCACTGTCATGGCCCCTGACTTGCCTGAAATGCTCGATCTGGCAGGCACAAGGTCGAGATTAGCTTCCGTGAGTGCAGATGCTGAGGTTGCCAGGAGGAAATCTGTCCCCTCAGAGACTGTGATTGAGGAGAGCCATACTGGCTTGCCATCTGCAACTGATGAAAACCACGTCATGGTGAAAACAGATAGTCAGCTGGAGGACCTAGGCTACTGTGTGTTCAATAAATACACAGTTCCGCTTCCATCCCCTGTTCAGGACAGTGAGAATCTGTCAGAAGAAAGTGGCTCCTTCTATGAGGGAAGCGATAGTAAAGTTCGACGAGATTTGGCCACAGACTTGTCCTTGATTGAAGTAAAACTAGCAGCTGCTGGAAGAGTCAAAGAAGAGTTCAGTGCCGAGAAAGAAACAGCCCCTACGTCTGGTCTCCTTAGGGAGTTTGATCAGGAGAGGAAAGCAAACGATAAACTGGATACTGTACTAGAAAAAAGTGAAGAACATGGTGATTCGAAAGAACATGCCAAAGAAGCAGAAGAGGCTGGTGCCAAAGTAGACGCGTTTGGGTTAGGAGTAACACACAAAGCAACTCCTGCCAAAGAACCGACAGTGGCAAAAGATGCAGCAGCTGAGAAAGCAGACAAAGGTCTTAGCTCAGTGCCAGAAGTAGCTGAGATAGAACCATCCAAAAAACTTGAAGAGGGACTGGATTTGGCCGCAACTGAAGCTGACCAGGGTCAGTTAGATGTTAGAATCAGTGACTTTGGGCAAATAACGGCAAAGCTGAGCGCAGATGCTGGAAAGGCAGCAGAGCTTGAAGTGGAGGCGGCGCAGGAACTGGCGCCCTCATCTAAAGCCCTGCAGGAGGCAGATGCATTCCTCAGTGCTGAGGCCAGCCACGGGAAGGAAGGGGCCAGAGTCAGTGAGACCGAAGTCAAAGAGAAGGTGGCTAAGCCCGACTTGGTGCACCAGGAGGCTGTAGACAAAGAGGAGTCCTATGAGTCTAGTGGTGAGCATGAAAGCCTCACCATGGAGTCCTTGAAACCTGAGGAGGGCAAGAAGGAAATGTCCCCAGAATCATCTCTGATCCAAGACGAAATTGCCGTTAAACTCTCTGTGGAAATCCCTTGCCCACCTGCAGTTTCGGAGGCTGACTCAGCTGCAGATGAGCGAGCCGACGTCCAGATGGAATTTATTCAGATACCAAAAGAAGAAAGCAAAGAGACCCCAGACATATCTGTCACACTCTCGGATGTTACTGAGCCGCAGCTTGAAGCAGTCATTTCGGAACCAGCAGAAGCTCAGAGTGAGGAAGAAGAGATAGAAGCTCGGGGAGAGTATGACAAGCTGCTCTTCCGCTCAGACACCCTCCAGATCACAGACCTGGGTGTGGCGGGCCTCAGGGAGGAAAGTGTGGAAACCTGCGCAGGTGAGCGCAAAGGAGTCATCGAGTCTGTGGTGACCATCGAGGATGACTTCATTACTGTGGTGCAGACTACAACCGATGAAGGGGAATCTGGGTCCCACAGTGTGCGTTTCGCAGCCCTAGAGCAGCCAGAGGTGGAAAGGAGACCTTCCCCTCATGAGGAAGAAGAGTTCGAAGTGGAAGAGGCAGCCGAAGCCCAGGCAGAACCTAAGGATGGCTCCCCTGAGGCTCCAGCTTCCCCTGAGAGAGAAGCTGCGCTCTCAGAGTATAAGACAGAAACCTATGAGGAGTACAAAGACGAGACCACGATTGACGACTCCGTCATGGACGCTGACAGTCTCTGGGTGGACACGCAAGGTGTGCTCTTGTCTTTTTTTTTTTTTTTTTTTTTAATTTTCTATTCCCAAATCCAACCCAGTAACCTAATGGGCATTTTTTAATATATAAAAATATCCCCTTAATCTCTTTATTTTGCATTTTGGAAAGTATGCAAGGATTCTGTACACTGTCACTAATGTTTTCGCTGTTGTTGTTGTTGTCATGATTTGCTTTGATCCACAGATGATGATAGAAGCATCATGACAGAGCAGTTAGAAACTATTCCTAAAGAGGAGAAAGCTGGAAAGGAAGCTCGGAGGCCATCTCTTGAGAAACATAGAAAAGAAAAGCCTTTTAAAACCGGGAGAGGCAGAATTTCCACTCCTGAAAGAAAAATAGCTAAAAAGGAACCTAGCACGGTCTCCAGGGAAGAAGTGAGAAGGAAAAAAGGTTCATTTAACAATCACTTCTTTAACAATGTTTTTGAAATCATTTATTTATTTGTATGTAGAAGAAACTGCCTAAAAGTGGTAACTGATTATTTACAAAATTTTCATTGGTTTTGTTCCAACTGCTTTTTTTTTTTCCTGATGGTATGCTCTTTGTGTTTTCTTATTCATAGCAGTTTATAAGAAGGCTGAACTTGCTAAAAAAACAGAAGTTCAGGCCCACTCTCCCTCCAGGAAATTCATTTTAAAACCTGCTATCAAATACACTAGACCAACTCATCTCTCCTGTGTTAAGCGGAAAACGACAGGTGACTGTTCAGTTCTGCAATGTGGCTGGCAAACATAGACATGTATTTCTTTTGGGTTGTTTTTTTTCTTTAAATCTCATTATGTAGTGGCTTCTTCATTTTGCTTTTCTTCCAGAATCTCAGCAGTCATGAACAATTTTGCTATTAAGTGTCTTGTATCATTATTCTTTTTTTTTTCCCTCCCTGCAGAAGAGCTCATGACCATCTGTCTCTTTGTCATGCTCAGACATAACAGTGCGTGATTGTATCTTGGCATTGTGCTCTAATGTCACATTCTGGGGAGTCCTAGTTTCATTCTGTGTGTTTGGGTAGACGGTGACGATGAATTTTACCATGGTATGCATTCTCATTATTTTGCTTATTTATCTCCCTCATGCTTAAGTCCGTATATCTTTGTTTTATTTTCTACGTTGTCACTGCCAAATCTGTTACTGATGTTGATGAAGTTACTGACCACCACCAACGATGCATAGCAATGTAGACACTGAAAATGAAAAGCAAGCTGAGGTAAAATTGTGTTTTGCAAAACTATTTTGTTTTGAATGAAAAAAGAAGCAAGAAAATGAAATTGTCTGGCAGTTGCATCAAATTTTTTCACTGGTATCCATAATTAGCAGGCCTTTCAATCTACTCCTGTACTATGTCTTTTACATTTTTTCATAGGGAGAGTCTTAAGTGTGTTGAACTAGACAGCTTAATTTGCTGACGTAATTCAGCTTGCAAAACTCTAAGATAATTTTTTCCCTTGAAGAGAAACTTTAATTAAAAACAAATTTAGGTTTATTTTGACCTCTTCCTATTTCCCAAGCTTTAAAAGGTAGCAGAACAAAAGGATGAAGCATATAGGAAACCATAGTAAAACCCCTACAGATCTCTGCAGTGCAAACTTTATTTCTGAATTTAAATACAAAATATTTTTGTGAGTGTAATTATCCTAGAATAATCTTAATGTTTACAAGAGTACATTATGTTTTGTTTCAACATTTAAATGGCATGCTTGTAGCCTACAAACATCAGATTGCTAAGTCAGAAAAAACACTTCCTTTTCCTTTATGCATCATACATGTCTCTATATTTATCACTGAGTAGTTTTAATGCTTAAGAACAGCATCACTTTTTTTGAAAAAAAAAATCAAGGTAATTGATGGTTTTATGACAGACAGGAAGAATTTCAAGTCTTTTCACTTGTGTTCTCCAGATAGGAAACATCTCACAGGTTTTCTTTTCAGAATGAGTATCCAAGGCAGGATTTGAAAACAGATGGCTAATCTATACATGCAGAGCTTGATAAAGATTCAGGAGGAGGAATACCTCTAAAATAGGAGGGATTTACATGACATCTCCAAATATTGTATTTTAGCTCTTCTTTTTTTTTTTTTTAGATTTTAGCCTCATTAAACTTGGACTTCTCCAAGTGAGCTAAATGCTTGGGCAACCAGAATCTTCTGGTTTGAGCATTTAGAAACCTTCTAGCTTATCTTGGGTGACTAAAGATATTATCCGGATTGTGAATTTTAGAAGAAATGTGAGAGGTCTTAGTAGTGTCAGCAGGTCTATTGGTGTTCAGTTTACCACACTGAAACTCTTACTGTTTGAAGAATATTTAAAATCATTGAAACAATTTGGATCTTCCTTATTCTAGTCAAATATTAAGATACTCTGGCAAAAGGAGTAGGTGTCTTTGGTTTTACACAAACTACATGCATATGTCAGAGAAATCTGAAGGATGTCATGTAAGTAGTAGGAAGGCATCCTTTTCACTGCTTTAAAAACTCAGTTCTAAAATCTACACACTATTACCAACCAGTCCTACTTACCACAAAACATATTGTAGACAGCTATTATTTTTTGTTTTAGAGCTATCTATGGTGTAAGAAGCCTTTGAAACTCATTTGGAGGGCTTGTAAGGATAAATATTTGTTTCCCTGAGGCTCTGTATCTTACCAAAGAAAATTAAGGAGGAAGTAAACACATAAGCTTGCATATTTTATTTTCTGAATGTAATGTTTAAATATGGTTTTTCCAAAACAAAAGGATTGTCTTAGATTGTGAAATATATCAGGTAAGTCACCAACAGAAAGTAAGTTCAAGATGATGGAGTTTAAAATTGAAACCAGAAGTATACACAGCAGCAAGAGAAACAACAGTAACAGATGTGGTAATAATTTCACACAGGAAGTGCATGTGTAGAACATGATCTGTATTTACTGAACTTGAAATTTCTTCCATATTTTTTGTCCTTGATAAGCTATTATTTCCCCTTCTCATGTAGTGCATTTCACATCAAACAAGTGTGTCATTCATATTGTGAAGGGTGCAGAGAGATCATGAGAGTTTGAAATGTAAAATGCAGACGTAACTGTAGGTGTGCCAGTGGATTCCGACAAAGCAGGAGGGTTTGGAAATCTCAGTGAGCACCTCCATGTCACACCAACCCTTGAAACCAGTTTCCTCTTCCTTAAATTCTGTAGTGTTCACATTGCTATCCTGTGACTTCTATCATAGAGTCTCACTTCATGCAGTAGTGTTTCTAAGATACATTGTGAACCCATAGAATATGGCTGTTTTTCCTACCTGTGCTTTGATTGATATGGAAATACAGTAAGTCACACACACTCTAGTTAGAGTCTCATGCAATGTTTTTGAGATTCAGGTTTCCTCAGAAAAAAATAAAATTTTGCTTTGCATTATTCTGCTGACACAATAGAATATCCAGAAGGCATTGAACGAATGCATTTGTATGGGTTTTAGCCACGTAGTTTGAGGTTGTTTATGTCTTTTCTTTTCAACAGCAACAGGTGGTGAATCAACTCAGGCTCCCAGTGTATTTAAACAGGCCAAGGACAAAGTTTCTGTGAGTAAAACAAGTTTTACCTTGTTTTTCATTTGAAGCTCCTTTCGGTGTTTGTTGCAATGTCTTAATAACATTAGATGTTCTTTACACTTTTGGATATTTATCCTTAAATGTAATTCAACCAGTTCACCCACCCAGATTGATCCTTCAAAGCAGCCAGGCAAGGATTAACATGCTCTGAAAGGATGTGTGATGGTAGCTGGTGGGACGACAGCTGGGCTGCCTCTTTATTGGTAGGATAAAACCATGAAGCAGCACAATGATTTGGCCAAAGTGGGGAAGACCAATTCATTTGCTTTATATAGAATCAAATTTACCATTACCGTCAACGTAACTATTTGTAATAGATTAGAGATAATGTTGGCAATGTTCACTAGGACAACTTACTATGAGAAAAATTGGCATTTTAAGAAAAATGTCTATGTTGAGAGTTTTTACTACATATTATCAAACTTATATTTGCCAAATTCTAAGATAAGCATGGTATTATTTTAATGTGGTTCTGTTAATATGATTTAACTTTTTCAAGTTTGTAAATATTTTCTTTTTGAATTTTGTTTTTCATATAATGAACTATATTTTAAAGATGAAAACCAACCTGAAATACTTTTGCCTCTTTAAAACTAGAAGAAAAAATTTAAAGAACTATTCATGAAATATACTCTATAATAAATAATATGAATGATGTTAATTAATAACTTGTCACAACATTCTGGGTCTCCTTGATTATAAATGATATTTAAATCATAATACATAATTAAACTTCTAATAACTGATAGGTATTTAATCTTCTACTTTTATTTAGTGTGAAAACAATGAATCATTTCCATTGATGACCAAATATTTGATATTCATCTTGAAATTGAAGGGCTTCACTTTGATCAAGGAAAATATTTTACTTTTATACAAATGTTTTTAGACATATTCTTAAATATATGACGGGTAATAGAAATTATTTATTGCTTTGGTCAATATTAGGTTTGATTTTGAGAACAGTGGATTCCAAACTTTGTATGTTTTTACCCTCTGTTTCTAACTGGGAACTAGTTAGTGACTTGTCATGTTCCAGTCTTACACATTTATTATTCAATTGATCTATTTCTGTTTTAATGGCCTAAAAATAAGGGAGGATGATAAAATTCCCAAAATTATCATTTAATTATGAAGCTTAGAGTAATTTTATACAATAGTACACAGTATTAGGACTGGAAAATACTAGTCATTTACTGAATAAAAACAGTCGTTAGTTTTTATTATGAATTTGGTTACTTTTTAGAAAGTAAACTTTTTAAGACAAGATACCAAAAATAAGTCATGAGTTTGTTGCCTTAAATATACATCTTCTGCAAAACCTAGAGGAAATATTTTAGTCTACAAGGACTTTGTGTGACATAAAACTAGCTCTTTTCCTTGGAACTCCATCCCATCTATGTGAAGAACAATGATGGATTCTTACCTTTTCTCATTTATGACCCTATTTTTCTTCCCCATATCTCATCCTTTCCTTATCTTTCCTAAAATTCCTAGACTAACACTCACTGGACTTATCTCTGATATTCAGGAAAACAGTTCCCTGGGTGTTTCCCTATGCTTTATTAGGAAAATTGCCCACCCACAATCCTTCATTAACTTGGTTTCTGATAGTTATGGCAGTCTACTTAGCATTAGCACCTGTCTGCCTTAATTAGAGCCAATCTAATTACTTCATTCTTCTCTCTTAGAACACATTTTTGAAATTCATTCTTTTGTGGGTAGGATCAATCAAAAAAGAACAACTATACTGACCCAGTTAGGCTTCCCGTCATGGCCCTGGGTCAGGAAAGAAGTGTTTTGCACAACGTGTGCATGCTTATGTTCCTGTTTAAGTGACTGTGGAGGTGAAACCTTAAGATAAAATTCTCAGCTTCATCCACCATTTTTGAAACAGCTATAAATCAAGTTAATTATTTGAAAATAACAGTCTCCTCAGCTTTGTCATTCTTGCCTATGTTTTTAACAAAGTCTTCCCAGAGTTGTTGTGAGATGCCAGCGTGGTTTCCACCAAAAGCCACTCATGCCTGCAATTTCCCTGGGAGTCCTCAAAGTGTGTCAATTAGGTCTGGGGATTGTAACGGGGAACCAGTTTGGGGCTGACTCTCCTTAGATTTTGTAACACATCATACAAACTGTCATCTGTGCATAGAAAGATCTTACTTATTCTACACTAGATCTCCAGCTGTGTTTTATTCATGTAATAATTTTTTTTGGGGGGTGGGGGCTGGCTCCGAATGCCTTCAGGGCAGGCAGGTTTGGCTGGCTTGAGTTGTGGGGATCGAACCACAGCAACCTGAGCCTGACTGCTTTGTTGAAGCAGCCACTTAAAGAGCTGAGCTAAGGGGCAGGCCCCCTCATGTAATAAATTTACATATAACTGCATGTTTTCAAAGGAAGTCAATATCGATTAACTGAAAAATAGCTTTCTCAATCTTTAGAACACTAATATCTATTGTTAGGTCTATACGTTGTCTAAAGTTCTTTAAAATGCAATCAAGATGTGGACTGTGTATATACTTTAAAAGGTGCACTTAGTATTAGAAGAACATTAGACTATAAAGACATTTTGCAAAAATGGCATCACTTTTGTATTTATAAATTAGAGATCTCCTATATAGCACCTATGAAGGATATTTTATCTGTGTTTTCTTTAAATGACAACTATAGATAAATTAATTTCAAAATTCCAAAATTTAGCCACTTAGCCTCATTCTTTTAACCAAAAGACTATTTTTCTAATTTCTGTTGTGATATTCTGCTTAACACTTATATTGTTAAAGTATTTTATGAACAATGTGTCCTTAAAGAGCAGAAATCATGATTTGAAGGTCTTACTGTAATCCCTGACAGTGAAATGATTTTATTTATAAGAATACTAGCAAAGTTTGCAACTTCCAAAAAGTTGGTAATTATGTCTTCACTCATTCCCTTCTCAGACAAGGACCCCATGAGGGGCCATCTTCCTACAGTAACCCAGAAAGCAGCAGTAACTGTACTGCTCATTTGAAAATCAAATTCACTGAAAATAATATGAATTGTGCAGATGGATCTCAATATGACTATTAATATAAAAATACAGTAGCAATTGTTTCCACAAGCATCCTACAGTGGACTCCTCAGAATAACACGAGTCTATTTCAGAGGCAAGAAAATCTTGAGATTGTTTTCTTTCTCTGAAGAATCCACTCCAGAAGCTGGGGGAGGGGGAGACCACAGGCTGAGAGTGCTTCCTGTGTTCCTGCCAACTGAAATGATCCACACCACAAAGGGGTGTGTGTGTGTGTGTGTGTGTGTGTGTGTGTGTGTGTGTGTGTCTTTTTCTGCTTCAGAACTAAACTCTAGCCTTGAACTTTAATAGTGTGAGATTTTAGCACCAGCCTACTTCTTCCCAGAAAGGCTCTCTCCTACGTCCCTTTACAAGGTTAATTAGAGCACTTCTACTTCCAACCACATCTTCTGGTTCTCTGGCTAAAGTTAAGCAGTTATAATTCCTATATCAAACTACACAAAGATTTTGGTCTCAGAATTTCACAAAACTAATTCCTCTAAGACTGAGCAACACTATTCTTTTTTTTTCCCTCCTTCCATTAATCTGTCACTCACTATTTATTTAACACCATTCATTGTTTCTGTGCTATATGCTAAGCATAAACAATGACACTATTTGAAAGGAAAAGAGAGCAAATATTACAAATCTCTGTTGGAGACCTGACAAATACAAGGATTAATGGGTCAGCATCTTTTTTATGTGCACATACAGTAGGTATAAGTGCTGTTAAGCTAGTTCTAGCTTTTTTTTAAAAAGTGTTTAATGAAAATCTCTTGTTCTCACATGAATGTACATTTTCATCATTGAATACAGTCATTGTGTTTTTATTAAAAGTATACATTTGATTTATTAAATGTTTGTAATTTTTGATTTTTCCTTTTACTTCATAGTTTGGTTTATTTTGTACTTTTGTTTGTTTTCTTTCATGGCTAGAATCCTACCTTGTCAAAGATTCCTGCTTTACAGGGTAACACAAAGTCTCCACGATACAGCTCAGCCTACTCTAGCACGACTAAAAGGGGTACCTTTTCTGACAGTTTTTTAACACAGCCCATCTCAGCGGGCTCTACAGAGCATTTCCCAAACTCAAATTCAGGGAACAAGGTAAGGTGCAGAAAGGAATATAATTTGGGAGACAATTGTATGGCATAATTCAGGATTAACATAAAAACAAGGATATAAAATAAAATTATTTGACATATAAATGACAGAGCCTGATAAAAACAAAGACAATTGAAAAATTTTAGTATTTTCCTCATAATAATTACAGAAAATATTTTTCTAGCTGTATTATCCATTAGCAATTATTTCCGATAAATTATTCTATTATATATAATGTAATAATTACATAATAGTAACAACAAGCGTTATTGTACATAATATAGAGTACAATTTGGAGTCACCTTCAGATATATCAGGGTTTAAATACTACCTCTGCCAACTGTGTGAATTTGAAAGAAGTTCCATTAGCTAAATCAGGTTCCTCAGGTTTAAAATATGCATTATATTTTATGGGGATAGTGACTTCATAAATGGATGTAGTGGGTACAGAGTTCCTGTCACATAGGTATATGCCACATGGTTGTGGTCATTCTTGGGGCCATTATTCATGCACTGCCCTTTGGCCAGTTCTTGCTGATTACAAAATTATCATGTGAATGAAGTTGTTCAGTAGAATTAGCAATTTCTTGAAGATGATTTTAGTAAATTAATTTTCAGCACTAACTCCAGAAAAATATAATTGTATAAAATATCTAGGTAAATATAAACTCTTTCTAATGTATTTGAAGTAGAAATGATTATGAGTGTATGAGATTTGGTAGTACCCATTAAAATAAATTTATCAGCACAGGAGAAAAACTAATCAGTACCATGTACTCACTTTGTATAATTAAAATAAAGGTTGACAAGAACCCAGTGTCTCTTTGTTTTCCCGAATCAGGATGGCATCACCAAGAGCCCAGAAAAACGCTCTTCTCTTCCAAGGCCGTCCTCAATCCTTCCTCCTCGCCGAGGTGTGTCAGGAGACAGAGACGAGAATTCCTTCTCCCTCAACAGTTCTATCTCAGCTTCAGCAAGACGGACCACCAGTAAGTTGCTTTTGGTTTCACTTCCTTTTTAATTATTTTTTTAATTGCTTACATGGAAAAGTGCTTCTATTTTACATTTTTCAAATACAACATGGATTAAGAACAGATTGTCTTTGTCCTAACAACCAGAGAATACAGACTATAAATGATTCTAAAATACCTTTTGGCGCCGGGGAAATCCCTGAGTGGAATAAGAGCTTCCCTGGCAAGTGCAAGGGCCTGCGTTCAATCCCCAGTTCCACCAAAATAAAATAAAATAAAATAACCTTGTGAGTAAAAACAACTAATGGTGGAAAAGGGACCAATATTAACTTATTGTCTATCAAATAAGATTGAGATAAATTCATTTCTCTAAGTGTATGTTTTCTTTCTTGTTTTAAGTTTAGAACAAAATATTTGAAAAAATGAATTAGGGCTGGAGAGATAGCTCAGCCGACTAAGCCCCTGCTTAGGCATGCCCAGGGAATGTGGTTCAATCCCCAGTACCACATGCCATGCCAGCCCCACCCTTCACCCTGAGCTGAACACCAAGTCTGGGCGTGGTAGCTCACATCTGTAATCCCAGCACTGGGGAAGTTGTAAACAGGAGGATCACTACGAGTCCCAGCTGCATAGTGAGACCCTGTACCAAATGCATAAAATTAAAAATTAAAAATTTAAATGAATTAATTCATTGATCATTTGAGAAACACAAATTAAAATAGCACTGGGATTCCATCTTACCCCAGAAAGAATGGCTATCAAGAAATGAGTAACAAATGCTGGAGGGGCTGTGGGAAAACAGCAACACTTCTCGACTATTAGGAGTGCTGATTGGCACAACCACTATTAAGAAGGGCAGAGAAAAAAATTGATGCATTAACTGCTCCTTTCAATAGATCAGCAGAAATCAGCAGTACAATTATCCAAGCTATCCTGTATATATACATATATATTTCCTTTTCCCTTCCTTTGTTCTTTCTTTTCTCTTTTCTCTCATCCATTTACCTTCCCTTTCAATAGCTTCTTGTCCTTTCAAGAAGGGCAAGAGATTCCTCAAAAAGCTATGATTAGAAGTCCCATTCAACACAACTATTCCCCTCTCACTTATTTTTCCAGAAAAACTGAAAACATCATATCATAGCAATATCTGTACACCCATGTTTATAGCAGCACAATCTGTCACAGCTAAATCTTGGAAACCAAATGCCCATCAACTGAGGAATGGATAAACAAGATGTAGTATCTTTATACAATGGAGCATTACTCAGCTATTAAAAGAAAAAGATAAGCTCGAGGCTTTTATGGGTAAATGAATGCAACTAGAGACCATTCTCAGAAGTGCAACAAATGACTCTGGTGTAAACATCACATTGTCTCACTTGTGTAAGAACCTAAAAGAGTAAATAAAATCTGTAAGGTACCATAGGTACTGTAAAAAGACAAGAAGCTGTTGAAAGGGAAGGTAAATGGATGAGAGAAAAAAGAAAGAAAAAAAGAAGGGAAAAGAAAAATATATGTATATATACAGAATAGCTTGGATAATTGTACCGCTGATTTCTGCTGATCTATTGAAAGGAGCAGCTAATGCTTCAATTTTTTTCTCTGTCCTTTTTAATCTTTTATAACTTTTGGACCAATTTTGCATGCTTATATCTGGTAATCTGCACAACTAATTTGAAGACAACAATAAGAAATAGAACAACTATTGTTGAATTGCTATTATTTTGTGTAGTGAAATTCTGTATCATTTCTAATTTTTTGCTATTTTTAAATTCTCTTCAAAAATTAAAAGTAACTTTAAAAATGAATTAATTGAGGAAACAAATTGTCAGGGATTTTAAAAACATATCTAAACTTAACTCGGGGCTGGTGAGATGGCTCAGTGGTCTAAAGCACCTACTTAGAACAAGCTTAGCAAATCAGAGGGACCGTGGTTCAATCCCCCAGCACCACATGCCAGCCAGCCCTGCCCCCTGGTGGGCTGAGCTGGCCACACACACACACACATAAATAAATAAAATTAAAAAAAAAAAAAAACTTAACTCTTATTAGAATTCCAACTCCTGAAATCTAATGGAAAGTCAAAATTCAGTACCTAAGATCCTGCTTAATTTGTTGAGGGTCTGCATTTCAAATAAGCTATGAAGACAGTGTGAACTGAGCAAGAGCTTCTCCTTGGGTTGATGGCCCGCAACAAACTGATTAACAATTATCCTGATTTATGCAATGTTCTTTACACGTTTAGAGATTGTGCACTGCTAAAGCCATCCAGTAAAAGATGGATTCAAAATATTCTCCTGAGTAAATGACTACCATTTATTGAATATACAGATACAAAGCACTTACGATATATTTTTACTTAGTTTAACTTATAATGCTGATGGGTATTAATGGCTGAAATTTGGTTGATTAAAACACTGACTTTTGAGAGAAGATAATTTGTCGAATCCTACTTAGCTAGTGAGTGGTTAAATTGTCAACCCACTGTGAATGTCACAAGCTGTCCTTTTAATATCTTCTATATATTTATTTGTAGAAAATAATATTTGAGAACTGCTCTGTAGAGTTACATGGAAAATAATTAACTATTGTTTAAAAACTCTTATACACTGTTGGAAATTGCTCTCACTATCACATTATAGTTGATTTCACCAATTGCTTTTAAAAATGTTTAATAATGATTGGCCTACTTCATGTATGACTATTTTGCAAGATACTTATGGAAAGCTTTTGCCTACAGTGAAAATGTTTATTGCAATTATAGCAATTGTGCCCAGTGACATTTAGTTTTGTGAACTATTAACAGACTATAAGAACTATACTAGGAACACTTTGAAATCACCAAAAGTCTTTTTTTTTTTTTTTTTGCCACAGATTGTACTCAGGACCTTGTGCTTTCCAAGCGGGCACTTATGCTATTGAGATATCTCCCTAGCCAACAAAATGTCTTTTTTATAACAGGAAAAATAAATTATTCCATTATACTAGCAAGAAGGGCATTTAAGAGGTAGTAATCTCCAGGGAAATGGCTTTAACTTCACATATCTAGATTTGGAATTGAACATAAACAGTAGCCCAAGGGGGAACCAAAGGCCCCATGCTCCCAAAGGGACATCTTGTAGGGTGCATATATGTGTTGCTATGGAAAAAAATTGGCACTGTCACCATAAATCCACATCTTCATGCCACTTGATTCTGCCTTTTAACTCAGTTCTGTGTATAAATTGCTTTTTAAAAGGTTCTGACCCAATCCTAGCCTTACATTCTGGTTTTATTTATGTTCACACCTTTTATCGCATTGCTTGGCAATAAGCATAACTGATACCCTGTTCATATAAGACCCTCAGACCTGTTTTAGCTCTAACTATGTCAAAAAGGCGTAACAAGGACCAGAAAGGTAAGGCATTTGCCACTTTCATTCTACCATGTCCTTGACTGAACACAGAAATATCCTGGCCTTGCATAAAACTAATGAAAAGAGTTGAAGGAAGCATTGCTATGCAGGAAGTTCATTTAGCCCAGGAGGAAAGAAAGGCTTTGTCATTGAGTTGAGAAAATAAATAAGGGCACAGTTTAATAAATTCACAAGTATTTTTAAAATCATACTAGTTTTTAACTTGACCTCTTTAATTGCAGAATAAGAAATGCTCAAACTTACTGGTATTTACAAAAGTGCTTTTAAATCTACATAGTTATACTTATTTCTACTATTCCTCTTTCAGAAGAGCATTTGAAATGGCATTAAAAATACATTTTAAAAGATAATCTGAGAGAACCTGGTATCAGAAAGAAAACAGAGGAGAAAGAGTAACATACTTGGGGTGATCAAAAAATATAGCAAATATTTAAATTTTCAAAATTATTGCAGTAGGGCTGGGGAGATGGCTCAGTGTTCTAAGTGGCTGCCTGGCAAGAGCAAGGACCTGGGTTTGATCCTCAATACCTCATGCTGTGCCAGGCCCAGAACTGGGCTGGGCATGGTGGTACATGCTTGTAATCCCAGCAATGGGGAGGCTGAGACAGGAGGATCACTATGAGTCCATGGAGAGACACTGTACCAAACACATAAAAGATTTATTTTAAATATGTTTTAAAAATTATTACAGTAAAAGGCATGCATATTGCCATTAATCCCCCACAAAATATTCCTCTTGCCTTCAAACACATCTGTCTCACTATTCTTGCCATTCTTTGAAGCAGCTCTGGAAATCCTCTTTTGTGACTGTCTTTATGAATTGTAAAGATGGTGCCATCCAACACACTGGCATACTCCTGAAAACCTTACTTGGTGTCTTCACCCTTCTTATCCACTGGGCCTGGCATCTGTGACTGATGGCTCTTCCCCAAAGTCAAAATTACCCTGAAAGATAAATGTTTCGGATTGATTCAGAGCACTGAGACAGTCAAGACAGAGCAATTAAGCACACAAAAAGACTTCCAGAGCTGCTGCAGAAAACATCAAGAATGATGGGAGAAGTGTGCTCAAATGAGGGGGAGGATTCTGAGCTAGATTAACAAGAACTTGTCTTTTACTCTAATAATATTTGTAATTTAAACATTGACCGCATTTTTTAATAAAGCAAAATTGGGCTGAGTGGCAGCAAATAAATTCATGTCTGAAGGTCCTATATAAATAACACAATCATGTGCAAGTTTCACTCTGAGTATTTTGTGATAGCATCCCAATTTTCTACAGAAAGAAATAGATCTCTTTAGTATAAAGCACTGGGATTACTTTCCTTATTAAGAGGATAATGGTCTGTATAGTAGAATAGTGTCTGCCAGCTTCCAGGAAACTTGTGTGCAACCCCAGTGCTTCTCCGTATAAGCAGGGGGAAGAGTGTGAGACATGATTTCATCAGTGCTTTTCCACAGAGGCTAATACCTTGTATGTGAATTCAGCCATCTGTGCCCTGTGTACACCTGAAGCTCTGAATGAATAAATACAGGAATGAATGATCCACGTGTCATTCAGAAATCTTCACAGAGATCTCCTTTATCCCAGCTAAAGGCAGTTCGCATGTGTTAATGATCATGCAAGTAGAAAATTGTTTTTGACACATTTGTGATGAGAACTAAGGAGAATAAATCAAAAAAGTCCAGTTTCATCCTTGTATTAATAACGACAGATTTTCTAAAGAATCAGATTACGAACCTGAAGAAGAATGTTCTGGCACATTGTTAGCATTTTTGTGATAATTAATGAATGTTTCAGAAACTTAATGAGTCCCGGTACTCCACAGGTGGAATGGTACCCCGAGGAGAGTTCTCTGATGCAGTTGTTCTGTGTTTGTCTGACTCCTTTATTAATACAGGGTCAGAGCCAATTCGCAGAGCAGGAAAAAGTGGCACCTCAACCCCGACTACCCCTGGATCAACTGCCATCACCCCTGGCACCCCACCAAGTTACTCCTCACGCACCCCAGGCACTCCTGGAACCCCCAGCTTCCCCAGGACCCCTCACACACCAGGAACCCCCAAATCTGCCATCTTGGTGCCCAGTGAGAAGAAAGTTGCCATCATTCGTACTCCTCCCAAATCACCCGCCACACCCAAGCAGCTCCGGCTTATTAACCAGCCACTGCCAGACCTGAAGAATGTCAAATCCAAAATCGGATCGACAGACAACATCAAATACCAGCCTAAAGGCGGACAGGTAAGAATCAATACCACCTTATTCCGCTAACAGTTCTTAAAATGCAAGAGAGACGGACGTGTTCCTGAGCTACTGGTTACAGCTCACTGCTGAGTCTGGACCTTATCTGAAGAACCAAGCTTATAAAATGTAATGAAAATCACACACCCTCCTTTACTTCTGGTCATTTTTTGGGTAACAATTGATTTGGTCATGTAGGAGGATGTTTCAGGTGATTTCCTCATAGATCTTTCATGGAGTACATCTCCAGATTTGAGAATTTTAACTTGAAATTAAAGTTACTCTTGGTGTCACTTCGAGTTTTCCATTTCAGACCTTCTCAGTGAGATTAATTTCGCTTTCAGTGATTACACTGAAGGATTTTCCTTCCTTCCTTTTCCCCCAAAGATTTCCTCTAACATCTCTTACCATTTTCCTGTCTTGACTCTAAAATCAGAGGATAGTTTACCAAGTTACTTCTCTGGCTACTATTCCCTAAATATTGCAAAGAGCAAGGATTTATGGTAATAATAAACTATGTTTTTAATGAAGTTATAACATTACAATGTTTGCTTACCAGTAATCATATTGAATAGAATTATTAGGAAAGAAAATTATTAGAAAAATTCAATTCCAAATCCAGAGCAAATATTTATGTCTTTTCTAGTTAGGGGCTTTGAGTTCCCCTTTGATCTAAATCTTGCTCATCTACTACACATTTTGGGCAAAGCCAGGAAGAAAATAATACAAATAGTATTTAACATTCCTCTTATAATTTGATCACTTTTTTGATAATTCCAACTTTCCTTAAATGGAGCTAAAAGGAAGCAACCATCTTTAAAAGAAGGACAAAAGCAGTAATTCTCTTTGTTTATAAACATATTTCTAATTCCCTTCCACAGATTCTTAGAAACACTTTCTCTTTTCACTTTAGCAACTTCTCTACCACTCTTTTTTCTTGTTTCTTACACTTTCTGCCACTGCCTTCTAGCATCCCTCCTTCAAGCCAAAGAAAATGTATTTAGAGGTTCAGATGGAAGATCTTGCCAAAATGCGAAGCTGCCCAGGACTCCTACTCACATTGAAATAAAAATTGCATGGTACTCCTTCTTTAGCAGGAAACTTTCTTCCATCTTATTATAATTTGGTCTAAGAAAGCCCATGGAGTTAAGAAAATCAAGTAAGGTCTGAGAGAGGAAAGGTAGTCCCATTTTAGAACAACTACAACATCCTTTAATATAGCCATGGTAAAAAAAAATTTTATAGAAGAGCAATATGAAAAATAGAAACTCTAAAAAACTTTTGTGAGCAAAAAAAAAAAAAAAATCACAAATTCTAACAAATTGAAGCCTGTAATTTTTTTTTTAAATGTATACTACACTTGTACTCCTCAGTTCTGTAGGAGCCAGAATTCTTCTTGGCCTTTTAGGAATATCCAAACGTCATGCTATCTTTAAGTTTATGCATAAATAATTAGAGGAGTAGTGTGAATTAAATAAATTTAGTGTCCCTAGGAAAATTCTCTTTATGACTTTTGATGAGAGAGAGCTCTTAAGTAACTATTGTCTATATTTTATATTTAATTCAATTCTTTTTATAAATATTTTTCTATCCTAGTATTTTCCTTAATTAGCACCTCCTTGCTTATCTTAAAATATTGCTATATAAAAGAATTTACTTCTTCTTAGAATCAGAAGAAAAATAAATCATTTTGTGAGATTTTTAGTGAAACTAAATATATACATGACAAAAGGGGGACAGCATCACTATAAACTGTCTTACTTTTCTCATTGCTGAGGCAAAATACCCAATACTCAAAGTTAAAGAAGAGGACGGGTTATTGGAGCTACAGTCGGCTGGCCCCAGGGCAAGGTGTTCTAGCAGTGGAGAAGCAGGCCATCGCAGAGGAGAAGCAGGCCATGGCAAGCAGAAGGCTGCAAGCAGAAGCTTTCTCTCTTGCCCTTTATAGTCCTTCTAGGCTTTAAGCCTGTTGATTTATGTCACCCACGGCCAGGGTGGGGCTTCCATTATCCACCCCTTAATTCCAATATCGCACTTTTAATCCACATTCACATATTTTCAAAACTCCCCACCTATAGCCACATAAGGCTTTGGGAGGGGATATCTGATACTAGCCACATTTGGCATAGAAATGTTAAATTGTACTGTTGTGTTCAAAGGACTCTGTGAAGTGAGGAGTTGAGAAGAATGGCTTAGCTCTGCAAGAATCTCTAAGATTAAATCAATCCAGAAATAAATGGTCATATATATGTTGTATTTTCTTTTTTCTTCTTTATTGTATATGGTTGGATTTCCAGGTCTAATTTTAATTGACTTCCACTCTGGTAATTCATACAGTTGATGTGAAAGGCTTATTTTTTAAAAAAATTATTTATGTATTTGTTTGTTTGTTTGTTTGTTTGTTTGGTACAGCTATGCAGGTTGGACCCATAGTGCTCCTGTCTCAGCCTCCCCAGTGCTGGGATTACAGGCATGCGCCACCACCCCTGGGGTTCTGGGGTCGACATGGCATGCATGCAGTACTGAGGATCAAACCTGAGTCCTTTAGCTTACCATGCAGGTGCTTAGACTACGAGCCTATCTCCCCAGCCCCAAAAGTGGCCTATTCTTTTGACCTGTACTAAAATTGTTCTAGCAATTACAGCAGTTAGCAACTGGTAAGGACAGGATTCTTTTTCTAATCATATTGAACTGACGTGTTTGATTGGACTGTTTTAAAGCAGTTTTTATTTTATAGAGCAATCCAAGGGTCACAGCCCAATTAAGCAGAGGATCCAGATTTCTCATATGTCCTCTGCTCCTCATGCAGCCTCCTCCATTATCAACATCTACCATCAAACAGATGGCAACAGTTGATGAAAACATATTACATTCAAATGTTTATCTGAATTAACTAAAGTTCTGGTGACTCTAAATTTGTATCTGAGGCAAATGCCTCACTGGCCTCTGCTGAACCTACCCTGCTATCCCTGAATATTTTCTGTCACAATAATAACATGATCAGACAGGCCTATAGCCAGCTGCCTTCTTCCCCAAAGTACTATATTTCCCAGCTTCTCTTGTAAGTAGGTGTAGCCATGTTACCAAGCTTTTTAGAGTTCTTACTTTATAAAAAAGACTGGGAAAGTTTTTACCCAAGACTTCATCGACATGATCAGAGTGATATGCTATAAACCTTTACTATCTGATTGAATGCCAATAAATGTACACTATTGAAGATATCAAAGCCACTTGCATAGCATTCCTAATTGAAAATTGATCACCCTGGGCTATTTTAATGAGCAGGAGTCACCTAAGAATCATTAAAGAGAACAGGACAATAACTGCTTTCGGTAAGAGCATGATTTGTAATAGTGATATATGTGAATTCACAACTTCCCAGTGTGAGGATCTGTTGTTCTTCTGAATGTAGAGGGCTTGTGCTGATAGCCCTCATCTCTTTTGTTAAAGTCCAATTTTCTGTTGCCGGAGAGGCTTGGCTCAGTGGTTCAGTTCAGTGAGGCAAATCATTGTCTAATGGAATAGATAAGCTCGTTGAAGATATGATGAGCTTTACAGAGAGCACCAGAGTTAATGCTGTCAGCTAAAACATGAATTCATTCAACTGGAAAGAACATACGCAATACTGGGCTCACTGTAGCTAATGAGCTTGGTCCATTTAACCCAAGGTCTAGATGAAAGCTCTCTTGTTATGTCTCTTCCCTGAAACTGTCTCTGTACTTCAATTTACATGCAATCTGAATTTTAACTCATTTTAGTTCTTAAAGCATATAGCTGCTTGAATTTAAACACAGCCACCAAAATAAACTTTTTCTCTAAACACATAGATTTTAAAACTTAGACAACTAGCTGAACAGTGCTTTCTTTTCTGTTTATGAATCAGGCTTTAGAGGGACTTGATTTATACTCTGACATTTTGACCAGTTTCTTGTATTTCTCCATCAGCTTTATGGAGAGCACTATAAAAAGTACTAGATATGTGCCTTTGTCATAGTTGAACATTACTAATGAGGCCATTTCATAGAATGTGTGTTCCCTGATTGCTCTTCAGACAGCCTGGTTAGAGGTGGGGAGCTCAGCCAGGCCACAGCTGTGGACTGATGGATCACTGGGTGAGAGATGGACTCTTGCTTCATTCACGGCCACAGCACCCACTCTGAGATCAGCTGAGCTGAAGATAATGGCATCTTCATTTCCGGCAAGAGCAGTGTTCATGTTTTATATAATAAGTCTTTTGGAATTTTGGAATTTGTCAGCCTGTTACCTTCCCAGTCAGTTTGGCTGTGGCTTCTTTCGAAAAAAGATTATTTAGGTAAATCCTCTACACTTAAACCTATGAAGTAATTATATGACAGTACAGTGTAGTATAGTAGAGCACAGTATATATGCTTAAAGTAACACAGTCTGATTTCTATCACCCGATTTTATGTGTCTAAATTCAAGGGTATTGGAGGTCAAAGATATTCATCCCCTTGTTCAACCCTCATATTTTTACAAAATAAGGAACACAAATTTTCACATTAGCCACAATGTCTATTGAGTTGTGGGTGTCATCTTTATTGCTTAAGCTATATACTCAAAGAATGTAATTTGTATTTAAGGACTAATGATATCAACAAAATATTTTCATTTTGTATACCACAGTCATTTTGCTTACATTTACTTTTGTTGCATGACATGAAAATGACAGCTTTCTTTAATAGGGCTTTCCATGCCAAGGCTGTTTTTTGAATTCATGTGAGGATCAAAATTAGAGGCTTCTGAAACTTTATAACATTTTCAAGAAATAATTTAATGCCACCCAAGTGCTAAATTGCTATGCCATTGAAAATATGCCCTGTTACTAAACTGCATTGGTTTTGGAAAATTATGTTGCAGTTTTATCATATATTTTCACCTATATTTGAGAAGTTATTTTTAAATAATTATAAAAATCAGCATTTTAAAATAGAGTCTATTTAAATTAGAATTTCTTCAGATAATGTCAAGGATCAATAATA